TCTTCTTTGCATCCAGTGCTCCCAGGAGCCAAGGTAAGAGACAGCACTCCCCGGTTGGAGGCTGGAAAAGTAAAGTGCAGAAGAGTTCAGTAATTTGCCAAATCACTTCCGGAGAGGAATTGCTGAGACTTAACCCCAGTCTTTCTGGAACCTTGTTTACATCCCTTCAGAAAGCTTTTTAACAGGGCTGGTCGAGCTCTCCCTTAAAACAGACCAGGACTGTCTGCAGCAGGTGCAGCCTTATTCAACCACTGAGTTTCATTCCTGAATCTTCTTCTCAGTTAGAGGGCAAGGAGAGTCTACCCAGTGTTTGGCATATAACAGATGTGCCCAAAATGTCACATTGACTCTCCCTGGAAATGCTTGTCTCGCTTGCACCAGTACTTTACCAGGGACTTGACTGTGACATATTTTGTAGTAGTTGAGTAGTGACATCAAAGGGAGTCTATAGACTGTGAGGAGCTCCCCACAGTCAGGGTCTCACAGACTGTCCTGCCCGAGGCATTGGAGCTTACTGTCCGGCAAGAGAGTGCCGCTCTCTACCTCAGACCCGGAGTGGTGGGATGCTCATTTTGTGAGAAACTCATGCTGAGCCCTGTTCGTCTTCAGTCCTGAATTAGCTGGCTGCCTTTTAAAAAAGATGACTTTTTTTTTAAACTTTAATAATAACTGCTCTACTTCCTAGTTTCGTACGGGTACCCCTTGCCAAGTTTGCCTCTAGGGGCTTGCTTTGGGACTTTCTAGCCTGGCCTCAGAGACCCACACCATTTACTGGCTCTGTTTTGGGGAGGGGGGATGGGTTGGTGGGCTTCATGGGGAGGGCAAGAGGGAGCACCTCTGAGCAGCGTAGCCTCTTTGAAAGTCGGTAATGAGGAATGGAAACAGTGAGCATTTACACTGCCCAGAGTACCTGAGATGGCTCAGCCTCTGCCTTTCTCAGCAAGCTTGGGGGACAGTCTGGAGAACCTTCAGTTCTCAGGCTTCTCTTGTCCACTGCACTCCTGTTTCATTCTCACCCCACCCCACCCCAGAAAATCCGTGTCTGGGAGTCGGGTTCCTGCAGGCTCTTATTGTAGGAGCTGCTCCTGTTTCCCTTTGTCTTTGTCTCACGGTTAATCCCAAAGTTGGGAAAGAAAACCATTTGTCTGGAGTGGGAGGTGCCCTTGCACCACAGTGGAGCTTAGATCCTGAGGGGCGGTCAGGATTGTTCTCATTGTGTGTGTAATTACCAAGTGTAGGCAGGTTTCATTGGAAACCTGCTACACTGGGCTGTCATGGCAACCTGATCATAAAATGACAGAGCAGCCAATGAGATTTGAGAGCCTTGAGGGGTGGGGCTTGCCAGGCTCCTTCACATAATACTTCTGGCTTGGTCTGAGTCATTGCAGAGGAGCTGGGAGTTACTTTCAGACTCAGTGCTACCTCCCACTGTACCTGCCCTCTTCGTGTGTTCCAGTCCTTACCGGAAGTTCCTGTTGAGGGATTGGGCACGTGATAGAGGGGCAGGATGAGAAAAGCTGACAGTGGTCCTGGAAAGATGCTCATGAAAGGACCTGCTCCTTTACTTAGTACATGAAATCTGTTTTCATACGTTAGTCACAGGAATGGGAAACAGATCTGGGTCACCGAACTATAGAGTCAGGAAAGAGCAGAGAAGTGCATGGTTTGCTGTGATCAGGTCCCAAGGGCCATGAACTGCCTTGGGATGCCAGGAGTGGGACCTGAGTCTTCCACTGCTATGCCTCATGTGTGGCTCCTGTTGCAGTGTGATATGTTGATCACAGGGGTCTATGCGTTGGGCTTTCAGATGTTTCCTAGAAACTGGACTTGAAATCTCCCTCCTGTGGAATCGACTTTGGGCACTATTGTAAGTGGCTGTTGTAACAGAAACCCAGCCTTGGTTGTGAGCCTGAGTCTTGTCACCCATGACTTGGGCAAGCCAGGCAGAGAGGACTGAGATGGCTGCAGAAGCCTCTAGTGGCCTACAGTCTGAAGTCCCAGGACACAGCAGTTGCCTCAGACATCAGGTACCTAGAGATGGACTCTGGAAGAGTCTGTGTCTGTGTTGAAAACGGAGTTCTGAGCCAGGTGGTGGTGGCACACGCCTTTAATCCCAGCACTTGGGAGGCAGAGCCAGGCGGATCTCTGTGAGGCCAGCCTGGGCTACAGAGCGAGTTCCAGGAAAGGCACAAAGCTACACAGAAACCCTGTCTCAAAAAAACCAAAAATAAAATAAAATAAAATGGAGTTCTGGATTAGAAGATGGGTGTTTACCTAAGTACCTCTGCTTTGCTTTGCTTTCTTCCAGGGAATAGCAAAGTCTGCTGGTGTAGCCCAGGCTGGTCTTCAACTCAGTCTCCTGGGGATATAGATTTAGATAAGCGCCACCATGCCTGGCCTCTACTGAACACAATCTGTGTTCAAAAGAAAAATGTTCCAAATTTCCTTAAACTAATGGTGATGGTTCATGTCTGTAATTCTGCACTTGGAAGGCCAAGGTAGAAAGTTCTGAGTTCAAGGTTAGCCTGGTTTACATTCAGGGCCCTCCCTAGGTTCAGTCCCCATCACCACAGAAAATGAAATAACACTAATGTTGGAATAGAATTGATATAACACTGTAAAATAGTATGTTGACAGTCACTTGCAGAACATTTCAGAGAACATTCCTTGCCTCTCCAAAACTATTGGTCTATGTAGGATAATGACCTTTGTTATAGTCAAGGAAATTCCATATATATATATAGGCATTTTGACTGTATGCATGTCCATGGACTATGTGCATGCCTGATGCCCTTGGAGGCTACAAGAGGGTGTTAGATCCTCAGAACTACAGTTACAGATGGCTGTGTGAGCCACCATGTGAGTGCTGAGAATTGAACCTGGGTCCTCTCGAAGAACAGCAAGTGCTCTAACTGCTGAGCCATCTCTCTAGCCCCCCTCCCTGTTTTTTGTTTGTTTGGAGACACGGTTTCTCTGTCTCCCAAGTGCTGGGATTAAAGTCGTGTCGTGTGTCACCACCGCCTGGCTTTTTTTTTTTTTTTGCATTTGTGCATGTGTGTGAGTGAAGGATGGAGTGACAGGCAGCTTTACCTGTTGAGCCATTTCATCAGCCTTCACCCAAAAACTTCTGGCAAAGCCCTTTTGTGAGTCAAGCAAGAGGTGAAGACTAGGGCATGCAAAGTCTGAAGCGATAGCCTTCTGTCTTTAGGACCCCAGCAGTGGACTTCAGATGTCTGTTAAAATAGCTCAAAAGCAGAATGTTTTGGATTGGGCAGTTTCAGAGATGGCTGAATCTGAGCAGGGCTCCTCCTAGAGAACGCCTCCTCATCAGATCGAGTGTACGCCAAGGCCTGGGTTTACAAACTCAAGTCTCGGGGAACCCAAATGCCTTTTCCTTTGTTAGATTCTGTTTCAGTGTTATACACGATTGTACAACAGTGTTTTATTCTAGAATCTTCTTAGCAGTTTTATTCTGTGTAGACCAGGCTGCCTTTGAACTCAGAGACCCACCTGCCTATCTCCTGAGTGCTGGGATTAAAGGTGTGTGTCTTCACAGATTCTTAAAATACTTTGGAGTCGAAATCCTTTTGTTTTTGCTGATCCCCAAATGGCAAGTATCCATTTCAGTCCATCCCAGGAGTGACAAGGCTTAGTCTCTATTAGGAAGGGATGAAGGAATAGGGATACACCATAGAAGGAATGGGGCGGGACTGACCCTGTCCTGTCAGAGTGACGTGTTCTCGCCCGGAGAGACTCCTCTGGAGGAAGGAAGGAATGGAAAGAGTGCAGGCTGGCGTGTAAAGAATGATGTGTCTGGGGGCTGGAGAGACGGCTCAGCAGCTAAGAGCACGCGCTGCTTTTGCAGAGGATCTGAGCGCCTGTCACCAACCCCAGGCTTCGTGCTACCACCTGTAAATCTAGCTCCAGGGAATCCAGTGCCTCTGGCCTCTGAGGACAGACAGCTGTATGTCCACGGCTTGCGCATGGCAACACACACACACACACACACAGAGTTAAAAATAATACAATTTAAAAATAAAATAAAAAAATCAGATCCTCCCAGGTCTTCTGTCTTCTGAAAGTTTGTATGTAGAGCTGGGCTGCCAGTGGACACGGTGATAATGGGAATGCCCACGACCACGTGACAAGTGTTCGCAGTGAAAAAAGCGTAGGTGAGGGTCCAGTTAATTCCATTCTCCCCCTCTTCTTGCTGGTAAGTAAGCCTTTGCTAGTCATTTTATTAGCTCTTGGGTTAGTTTTGAATCTTACTCTGTAGCCCATGTTGACTTTGAACTCTCCACAGTCCTCCTGCTTCGTTCAGCCTTCTGAGTGCTAGGATTACAGGCCTGAGTCACCATGCCCAGCAACTGGTCAGATTTGTGTTACTGTGAGGACAGTTTAGGGAGGAAGGACTTGTTTTAGCTCCTGTGTTAAGGCCATCATGATGGCCAGGAGGCAGAGAGGAGAGAGCAAGTCTACAGTAGCCAGCTTTCTGCTTTCACCCTTTATTCCAGCTGCAGCCCCATCTTGCTCTCGGGTAGGACCTCTCCGCTTAGCTAGTCTTCTCTGGAATTACACTGACGCACCCAGAGGTGTGCTTTACTAATCTCTCAAGCACCTCCCAATCAGTCTAGATAAACCCTGAGCCTTCAGTGTGGCCCACAAGCATTCTACCCCTGGGCCTCCATCCCACCCCATTTTTGAGATAATATGTAGCTTAGAGCCTCAAACTGGAGATCCTCCTTCAGCCCCCAAAATGCCGGGACTGTAGTCTGAGCCACTATGCCTGGCTCGTTTAATCGTGGTTAATTTTAAAAGGCTTCAGGATGGCGCAGCAGAATTCTTAGAGCTGTGATCAGACCAAGATTTCAAGTACTCTGAGTGGGCATGGGCTTTGAGGACTATGAGTCTCACCCTTGGCTAACCCCAGTGATTGATGGAAGCAGTTCCCAGGTACTGCATTCTTGTGGATTGTGGGTTCTGTGTTCCAGGACAGCTGGGGATGTGGCTCTCCGATTCCTCTTTCACAGTAGCCTGGGTCAGTTTTCAATGGGCTCTGATTCAGTCTTTAGTTCCACTGAATTTTCAGTTGGGAATTATTTACTAAGAGGAGAAAGGTGCATAGTGTGACGCATTTGGGGACCTTGTTTGAAACAGAATGTTGGCTGTTTGTTGATTTTCGGGGATTGAGAGCCAGGGGTGAAGGTTTGTTTGGACATGGGACTGCATCCCTAGCCAGTGCCTGTGCCTGGGCTCCAAGAGTTAACTGCTGCAAGCAGTGACGTTTGTCCTGATCTTTGCTCCTCTGCTCTTGAGCAACCTGATACTGCCGCTGCTGGGGCCTGTGCTCATTGGCTGCTGGCTGCACTTAGAGTGGGCGGGTTTTTCTATTAAGTAAAAGGGCAGGACTTAAGCAGCCAGTGTCAGCTGAGGCAAGACATATCTTGTGCCACTTTCCTGGGAACCCCGGCATTTCCCACTCTTGACTTCTGCCGGCACTTGCTCACAGTGGTGCCTGAGCCCCCGGTTTCACCAGCATGCTCTGCCTGTGCTTGTATGTGCCGATCATTGGGGAGGCGCAGACAGAATTCCAGTACTTTGAATCCAAGGGACTTCCCGCAGAGCTGAAGTCCATCTTCAAACTCAGTGTCTTTATTCCCTCGCAGGAGTTCTCCACCTACCGCCAATGGAAGCAGGTCTGTATGCTGAGCCAGTGCGGCGAGGGGCAGCAGGCGGGGACTAGTTTTGAGTGAAGAGATGAATGGTACCTAGGCACGACTTCCTGCCTAGAGGAAAGAATGTCTGAAATGTAGGTGTTTCCCCAGCCCTCTGGGGCTGTAGCCAGCATGTTATGTCATTGCCATGGGAATGACTGGTCTTCGTGTAATTTCCAAGAAAGGCTGGACCGAGAGAGAAGGCGCTTGTGGGAGATGGAATCTTTGGCTGAGGTGGAATCTCCTAAAATGCACAGGGTGTCAGCGAGGTCCAGGGCTGTCTCACTACTTGGGCAGTTTCTATGACTCTGGGGCTGAGGCTAGAAACACACTGGAGGAGGAGAGACTATGATATGGAGGGCAGCATTCCTTCCTGGACTTTTAAATGTTTAAGTACCCCAGGAAACAGGATGGCAGCCGTGATCCTGGCCCTTGCGTGATGGGAAACTGAACCATGGCTTGGGGGTTTTCTTTGAGTCTAAATTCCATGCTGCCCCCCAGTGCTGATGTGTTGATTTGTGGATCGCAGAATGGAGACCCAAAGCAGGTGTGAGTGGTTGTAAAAGGGGGGGGGAGCAAGTCTGCCTGTCCGCCCTCCCTCCCTCCCTTTATTTTATTTTAAGACAAGGTCTCTATGCGGCCCAGAGTGACCTAGTATTCATAGAGATCTGTCTCTGGCTCCCTAGAGCCGGAACTAAAACCTTCTGCCACCACACTTGGCAGTTCTTTCTTCAGACAGGGTCTTGGTGTGTAGTTCAGAATGGCCTCAAACTCTCAGCGGTCCTCCTGCCTCAGTCCCTCTAGTGCTAGGATTATAGGTGTACACCACTGTGCCCACAGATACAGAGCAAGCTCTTTGAGAATATTTTAAAATAGGGTACAGTTAGCACAGTCGTAGGTGGTCTGTGTCACAGAACATCACCCCAGGACAGGTTACTTTGGTCTCTGGGGACCAGAGAGAGTGTTCTGTATGCCTCCTCCCTAAGTGACATACACTTTTTCCTTCCTATTTGAAATCTGGGGTGGTGGCCCTTAACTAAGAGCACAGATGTTGGCAAGAACTTACATAATCCCAGCTAGCAGATAAGACATGTGCTCTGTCAGTCCCACGCGCCAACTTACCCTCACATTGTTAGGTCCTAGGGATCTGTGTCTGCCCTCCCCGAAATCAATGGCTAGAGTGCTAAGTAAGAGGGAAACCATGAGGGCCACCTTTGGGAGTGTGAGCCAGCCAGTGGTCCATCAGTTCTTAAACCCTAGCTGGCTTAAAACACTTGGACTTAGCATGATGATTTTTGACGAGTGAATGGATTTGTCCATAAGAGTACCAAGGAATATTTTCCTTGGGATATTCTCTTGTTTTTGATTCAAAGTGCCTTCTCCAAATAATTAAATAATGTAATTAAAAAGCTCCCCCCACCCACCCCAGTGACAGGGTCTCATTCTATAGCTCTGGCTGGCCTAGAACTCCCTATGTAGACCATCCTGGCTTTGAATTCACAGAGGTCCACCTGCCTCTGTCTCTGGAATGCTGGAATTAAAGGCACATACCACTACTCTTGGCTAAATGTAATTAAAACAAAACAAAACAAAAAACAAAGTGCCACTGAGATGGAATGCATATGACATGACAGCCCTGGCCATGGCTTCCTGTGAATGCCATCTCTAACTGCTGTTTCTTTCTTTGTAACATGTGGGAAAGGATAGGCTGTACCTCTTAGAGCAAGCTGCTGGAGAGACCTCAGTAAAACCTTTCACATACCCCATGCCCTGTCCTGGGGGGAGAAGCGCCCAGCTGCTTTGCATCCAGCTGCTGTTACAGCTGCCGAGCAAAGCTCACCTAAGACAGGTGCTACCAAGGATCAGGGCCACTTAAAGCCTTAGTTCACTGAACTAGTAAAGCTGCCCTGGCCTTCAGCGCCTGGTTGGGAATCTGGAGTTGGCTATATCTGATGTGTCTGAGATCAAGGACTGGACTTGCAGTGCCATCGTGAGCCCAAGAATAGTTAAGTCGCCCTTGGCTCCTCCTGTCTCTGCAGCCTCCAGAGTATTCCCTGGCAACGTTTCTGCCAAGTAGGCATTGTTTGCACTTTTACCCTGGTCACCAAATTGTTCCTGGACTCGTGCCACCACAGGGGATAGGGAAGTAGTAGAGCTCCTAAGGGGATCTGTCCCAGGGACAGTCCTGCAGGGGAGCCAAGTGCTGATCCTGGCTGTATAACAAGCTGGACTTGGGGATGCTTGGAAAGAACAAGCACCAGGCTGCCCTGCTGGCCTCTCTGAAGGCTTCCTCAAGGGAGCACTTCTCTACACCCAAGCAGGGTGGGCACTTGCTTGGTTTCTGAATAGGAACCTAAGCAGTGACTCTGCTGTGTGGGTAAAATTGATATGATGGGGTTCCCATGGGCTGGTATATCCTTAGCAACAGGACATCTTGGGTCCCTGTGGAGAGCAGTTATTTCCCCATTGTGACAAGAGGCTAGGGAGCCAAAACTCAAGTTTTTACATTGGTTTTCTAGAAAATTGTGCAAGCAGGTGACAAGGACCTTGATGGGCAACTGGACTTTGAAGAGTTCGTACATTACCTCCAAGATCACGAGAAAAAGCTGAGGCTGGTGTTCAAGAGTCTAGACAGAAAGAATGATGGTGAGTTTGGCTTGTAGCTCCCCTGCTGGGCAGGCCTCTGACTTACAAAATGCCAGACCCCACTCATGGCCCTTGTTGTTACAGGACGAATCGATGCTCAAGAGATCATGCAGTCCCTGCGGGACCTGGGTGTCAAGATCTCTGAACAGCAGGCAGAGAAGATTCTTAAGAGGTGAGTGTGGGTGAGCTCCGTTCTCTGGGATGTTTTAGTGGCTTTTGGTCTAATCCACGTGCTGTCCATGTTAACCTGCTGCCCTGAAACTGGTCCTGTGATTTGGAAGGATGAATAAGCCCCTTCCAAAGCAAGCTTCTCCTGAGGTTTGCAGCCCTACTCTAAGACTCACAAATCTGGAATTAGCCCATTTGCCAGTGACCCTTAAAGTGACAAGCTGAGTTGTAGGCATTTCACGTTGGTGAGAAGTGTCCCTGGAACGCTTTCTCAGCCTGTCCTTGAGTTGGATTGCTGCTAGTGGCTTGTTCTTCACTCTGTAGCCACATATGCTGGCCAGAAAGATGGCTCACTCATGGGCAGAGGGCTTCCGGAAAGCTCTTCGAATAGCACAGTTTACCTGGCTGTACTTAGCCGGCTGGCCACAGGGACAGCAGCCCCTGGAGCCTGCTTCTGCCCCTCACTAAAGGTTTTGTCCTCATGCTGTGCTGGCCCCTGGTGTCCTTGGGAGTGTGCTTGCTTTACTAACCTGCTCACAGCATTTATTTGTGTTGTTTCTCCTCTCTCCTCTGCATCCCCTCTGTCTGTCTGTCAGAATACGAACGGGCCACTTCTGGGGCCCTGTCACCTAGTAAGTACCTGTGTCACCCTGTGACTGCCTCCCTCCCTCATCAGAATGGGGTTCTTGTGGGCCAGCGTATCTCCGTTTTGTAGAAAATGGGGTATCGAGCCACCTTACCCTTTCTCATGGGCACATGGTGCCTTTGTTTCCTCAGTGGCCACGGCACCTACCTTCATCCCGTGGTGGGGCACACATCTGGCAGACGGGGTGGGATACACGGGAGTAACCATGCTTCTGCCTTACAGCATGGATAAGAACGGCACGATGACCATCGACTGGAATGAGTGGAGGGACTACCATCTCCTGCACCCTGTGGAGAACATCCCGGAGATCATCCTGTACTGGAAGCACTCAACGGTGAGGCCACACACCCCACCGTCCACTCAGGCAGCCATCTTTGACTGGCGTCAGTGATTCCTTCCCCAGCCAGGCCTGAGCCAGGAGATGTTGTCCCCCTTTGCCCAAATATGGCTGTATGTTCCTCTCTTTCCATACTGACCAGCCTGAACAGCATGACTGTTCCCTTGGCCCTTCACTGGGAGCACCTTCCTATCCCCATGTACTTCACGGTCCATTCCACAGATCTTTTCCCAGTGCCGCTGCTTCTCCCAGAAGCATACAGTCTGTCCTCCTTGGGGCTATAGATACCTCCGCCTTCCCTGGGTTTCTTTTTTAGTATCATTTCTCTCTTTGGCAAAAATAGCATGTCCTAGCTGAGACAGAGAAGCCTCATGAGGTAAAGGGCAGCCTGGGCTACAGAGTTAGACTCTGGCTTTTTGGGTTTTGTTTTTAATAAGCATGCCCTATAGGGGCCTACATACTGCTTTTTTTTTTTTTTTTCCCCACTCAGTTAGCAAGGTTCCACATTCAGGACTGCAGATGTGGTTCCACAGTTAGAAATGTCATTCTGACTTAACCCCCTACTCCTGCTTTATCCACCCTGCTCCCACAGGGCCAGGTCAGGGCTTCTTGGGTGACAGGAAGTGGCTGATTCTACAGCTTACAGCAGCTGGCCTGTCTCTGGCCTGCAGCCCAGAGGTCAGCAGAGCTGGCCGGGACCAGTTCCAGAGAGACGGTGTTACGCAGGCAGCACAGCAGTTGGCTTGCGGAGGCCTGCGTAACATTCTGTCCTGCCCGCAGTCTGGTTCCGCATCAGGTTACAGGGTTCAGACCCATCCTTGATCCTTGTGGGCCATCCCTGCAGTCCTTGCCGGAAGCTGCAGGAGCCGCCTTAGGAGGGCAACCCAGCAGCTTTGTAAGGCTCTCCCTCCAGTCATTACCTGCTCCTCTCTAGACAAGGTCAAGAGCTGCAGCCACTGTCAGAGCAAAGGGCAAGAGTTCCAGTGAGTTTTCAGTGCCTCTTATCCTCACCGTTTGTGTGGCCACTTGAGAAGGTGGAAGGCAGTGACCATCGCTGGGCTAGCAGCTTGGCCACAGATGTCCTGAGTAAAGTTGACTATGTCTCTGCTTGTCTTTCCCACAGATCTTCGATGTTGGTGAGAATCTGACAGTCCCGGATGAGTTCACAGTGGAAGAGAGGCAGACAGGGATGTGGTGGAGGCACCTGGTGGCCGGAGGTGGGGCGGGGGCAGTTTCCAGAACCTGCACTGCCCCGCTAGACAGGCTGAAGGTGCTTATGCAGGTGAGCAGGAGAGCGGGCAGATTCCTACCCATGCTTCATTGGTGGCTCAGCTTCCCCTCTCTCCCTCAGCTGGGACCCTGCTTTAAAAACCCAAATTTCCCACCCCAGCTAATGGAGTTAATGCTTTGCAGGCACCAGTAGATCCAGGCCTAGGTAACCTTTGCATTTAGCTGGTCTAATTTTATATGAGAAACCTAAGCTGTGCATCACCTTACATGGGCTTGTTACTTGGAGTGTGCCAGGACCTGAATTCCTTAAGCACATCTCAGGATGGATAGGGTACCTCATGGAAGGTAGGGTGAACAGAACCTTTCATGACCCAGAGGCCATCAGGTAGCAGTACCTCTACCTTTCCTGGGCATGCACCTCCACGTCCACAGGGCAGAGATAAGCTTGTCTGATGTCAGGGGAAGCATTGTGAAATGACCCACATGTGGACACTCATGGACTTTGGCGTCTGTCTGCACAGTGACCAGTTACCCCATTTTGCTTCTCTTTGGCACTTCCTGTGCCAGGAGGCCTGCCCAGAGACAGCACATCCCTAGAAGACCCCTGGACAGACCAAAGGTGCTCACGCAGATGAGCAGGAAATTGATTTTTGGTGACGCAGCTTCCCCTGGCTTCCTCAGCCGGGGCCCTGCTTTAAAAGCCCAGACTTCCCATCCCGCTAATGGAGTTGGAGTTAATAATTTGCAGGCACCACCCCATTCCCCTTGGCATAGGTTAAGTGGGATCTCCCCCTGTCTTCCAGAAACAGACGGAGGCAAACGACTTAGAAGAGCTTCAGGCTTAACCTCGCTTGGGCTGGCCCCTCCTCCCAGCTCTGTGGCCTTGAGCAGCCGTTTCTCCTCCCAGAGCCTCTGAGAAAACAGACTTGAACAGTTCCCTCTCACCTATGTTTTTAACAGAATTCCAGGGATGTATATATAGAGGTTGTGAGCTCTCTTGTCTGGGGTGATGGGGCATACCTCTAATACTAGTACTTAAGAAGATTGAAAATTCAAGGCTAGCCTGCACTATATAGTATAAGAGCCTGTCAAAAATAATAATACTAAAACAAAAACATCCAGCCATGCCTGCTGAATCCTCAGGATGCTAAGTTATTCTTCAAATTACTCAGAGGGAAGAGCCTTCCTGTGTTCTGAAAACGCCAGGCTTCTCCCAAGGTGGACAGTGGCGGCCCTCAGCCCTGCTGAGTTCCTCTCTCCTCTTCTACCCCTCAGGTCCATGCCTCCCGCAGCAACAATATGTGCATCATAGGTGGATTCACACAGATGATTCGAGAAGGGGGCACCAAGTCTCTCTGGAGGGGCAATGGTATCAACGTCCTCAAAATTGCCCCTGAGTCAGCCATCAAATTCATGGCTTATGAGCAGGTGAGGACCTGGGAGAGGGTTGCCAGGTAGTAGCTGCTCATGTGGTGTCTGCTGGACTGAGGTCCCTGAAGCTAGAGCCAATACTTGTACCCAAAGGACAGCAAGGTGGGTAGGAGGCTCAGGGGTGACACCAGCTCTTCTAGCACTCCCTTCCATCAGGGTCACAGATTCCATCCATAGCTGACCGGCTGTGAGAGGAAGGGCAGGGCCAGGAGAGGTGCTGTGGGCCCTGGGTCATCCCTTTGTGTTTTCCTGTTCCAGATGAAGCGCCTTGTGGGTAGTGATCAGGAGACACTGAGGATCCATGAAAGGCTTGTGGCAGGCTCCTTGGCTGGAGCCATTGCCCAGAGCAGTATCTACCCAATGGAGGTAAGGGTCACCTGGGTCCTGGAGTGGGCAGTACACATGGGACACAGAGGAATGGAGTATGCTCATGCTTTTTGTCATTCTCATTGTAGGTTCTGAAGACCCGGATGGCCCTGCGGAAGACAGGCCAGTACTCGGGCATGCTGGACTGTGCCAGGAGGATCTTGGCTAAAGAGGGTGTAGCTGCCTTCTACAAAGGCTACATCCCCAACATGTTGGGGATCATTCCCTATGCTGGCATCGACCTAGCTGTCTATGAGGTGAGGCCCTATTGGGCATAGGCCCTGGGACCAGAGAGGGGGTTCAGCACCTGCCCGTACCCACTGCCTCCTGATGGAGAGGCTTAGATGAGAGATAGCAGTCAGCTGTTCACTGCAATGGTCTCCCATCACCCTACACCTCTGGCACAGCGGGTATGAACTCTGTCCCAGGTTCTGTAACCTCTAAGGGTCCAGAGGTTCAGCAGGCAGATCCCAGAATTCAGTGACTATTGGGGGCTAACAGATCTCCTCAGACTCCATACCACAGAGGCCAGGTGCTCTGTATGGGAACATAGTGCTCCCTCTACCCGCTTCCTGATCCCTGTCCTCGCCAAGAACCCCAAGTGACAGCGGGTGCAAAAGGCTCTGGCCAAGTGGATCAGTTCACCTTGGCTTCTCAAACCCCATGTGATAGGAAACAGCTTTCCCGTGGATTCAGTGACTGCCCTACCCCAGCATGTCTCTCCCACACTGGCTCTAAACTCACCTCTGTTTGCCTCTAGACACTGAAAAACACCTGGCTACAGCGCTATGCAGTGAGCAGTGCAGACCCTGGTGTGTTCGTGCTCCTGGCCTGCGGCACTGTTTCCAGTACCTGTGGCCAGCTGGCCAGCTACCCACTGGCCTTGGTCAGGACCCGGATGCAGGCACAAGGTAAGGCTGGTCCTGTGTTGACCTCCGTGTCCCTAGTAGGTGGGATGGCTGACAGGTGGCGTCTGACCAGTGGCCTCTCTCCCACAGCCTCCATTGAGGGCGCACCTGAGGTCACCATGAGCAGCCTCTTCAAACAGATTCTGCGGACTGAGGGGGCCTTTGGGCTCTACCGGGGGCTGGCCCCCAACTTCATGAAGGTGATTCCGGCTGTGAGCATCAGCTACGTGGTGTACGAGAACCTGAAGATCACTCTGGGCGTGCAGTCTCGGTGACGGGAGGGTGGCGGACTTGGTGATCCTGGGCTACAGCCCAGGATGTGCAGCCATCTCATTCTGTGAATGTGCCAACACTAAGCTGACTTACCCAAGCTGTGAAACCCAGGATGCCACAGGGGAGGGGCAGGGACTGGCAAGCTCTAGGCTGGTCCTGCTGACCTGGCAGACCCTTATTCCCTTCCAAGGAAGACCTGTGGACATTCCTTAGAGTCCAGAGGTCAGTAGGATGTGGGCTCCTGCACTTAGAGACAGGACGTTTCCTGCAGTGCCCGCCAGGCAGTGAGCTTGGAGGCCAGCTTAGCTCTTCCATCTCGTCCACGCAGCCAGCCGTCAGCCACCCTCCCTCTGGTCCAAAGAGCATCCCTGTGCCCCTCATGTCTTTCCCATTGGTGTGCTGTGGTGGGAAGTGGGCCTGTCCCTCTTCTTGTCCCTCTCCCTCAGTGCTGCTCCTCCAAACCTGTTTCCCAGGCTACAGCATCCTGTGGGCCTGTGTACGGGAAGCTGAACAAGTACCCTACATCCTGGCCTCTTCTGAGCTCACCAGCAAGGCTGCCTGGATGTGCCCGGGTACTCAGGCACTGGCTGCCTGGCACCATGGTGCATGGCTTTGCTGAAAGCTAGTCTAGGACCTGGATCCCAGAGGGTTTGTGCCGCCTGCATGGGCCTAACGTCCTCCGAGCTGTCCCCGATCCCTGTCAGGACTGGCCCCACACTTACTGTTCCATCCTGTGGTGTGAGGGTGGGGCGGGTATCTGCCCCTTGTGTGCTGTCCTGAGGAGAAGGGAACATGCTGAAGGCCTTGACTATGTCTCACTGGGGAAAGGACTCAGTTCAGAAGACAAGCTGGACACTGCGCATGTGCCGCACTTCAGAGAAAGCAGGAAAGGGGTGCGGAGGGAAGAGGTTTGGCTGCTTTAAAGTCTGTTCAAAGGTCCTGTGGGCCGAGTGGGACCAGCCTCACATTCCACACGGCGTATCACACTGCTTGGAGCCTATTTATTTTGTATTTATTTGAACAGAGTTATGTCCTAACTATTTTTATAGATTTGTTTAATTAATAGCCTGTCATTGTCAAGTTCATTTTTTATTCATATTTATGTTCATGGTTGAGTGTACCTTCCCATTACCACCTGGTGGGGGGTGGGGAGACGAGATGGAAAAGTGGCCACAGAGTGACCTTACCTGCTACCTACACAGACAGAATGTCTGTCCAAAGAATTCCTCTCCCAACTGGAAACGGAAGGAAAGGCACAAGGGACGACCCTTGCTGTGGAGAGTATCCCCTGGCGGGCCGGGTAGGGTAGTGGGAACGGTGGCCTTTACTGTCCTTTCCTGGACTGAGAATGTCTTTGTTTTGCCCTTTGGAATGGCAAGGCAGTGGGTGCTTCACTGGGAACTTGGTACACGGGCGAGGACCAGAGGGCCAGGTGGACTGCCCCCCAACCTCTGACCCGGGCTCCCTCCTGGCCCACGGCTGCCCTTGCTCAGTGAGTGGTCAGCTGGCCACTTGGCAATTGTGCCTCCATTGTCCCAGAACAGCCTGATGAGGAAAATCCAAATAGGATGCAAAGATCAATGCAACAATTACCGTTCTGCATAGTCTATCGCTGTAACTGGAGTTGTCAAAGCCAAGCAGCCTTCTAATAAAGTTGCTTCAATGTGACCGTGCAGCCAGGAATTTTCTGCTCTGGGCTTGGGGGTTGGGGGACATCTACATTTTCCTTACCCATCGCCTACATACTTACACCTCAGCTTCGAGAACACGTGGTCTTTAGTGGGTGTTGGTTAGCTGTGGGATTGCTGCATCTGTGGCATGGCCTCCCCTTCCTCAGGGAGCTTGTTCTTCACATGGTCTCCAGGCACCACAGGCTGCTTTTGCCTAGGCCTCCCGGGTGCTAGAGGCCGGTCAGCTCAGACCTTTCTCTGTCACACCTACTCAGCCTGTCTCCTCAGCTTTGTTAGAGGGCTCGCCCTTGGTGCAAGCTCACCATCCCCACTGGAGCAGTCGACGGGCACTGAAGTGTCACACGTCAAAGGCTGGGTCCTTCCTGGCTTTCCTCCCAGATCTGCTTCTCCCTTAGTTACCCCGGCAAAGGGTGGCTCCGTTCTTCTAGGGACTTAAGTAAAAACCTACTTCCTTCCTTCCCATGCCCTCATTCTAGTCTGGTCCATTGGAGTACGCCATCTACCTTCAGGTCCATCTGGGGCCCCACTGCTCACCACAGCCACCCTGCCGCCTGATCGCTTCTACCTTGATTCTCAACAAAGCTCTTCCGTATGCCTGTCTCCCCTGCTCCCTCCATTTTTTCTGAGTGACCTGCATACCTGAGTGATTCCCAGGCCTAAACCTTCAACTCTGGTTCCTATCGCCCAAAACCTCCCATCAAGGCGACAAGCCACAGGCTGGGAGGAACCAGTGTGGTCCACCCTGTGACTCAAGATGAGGATCCAATTTAAAATGACACTTAGGGTCTGAAGAAACGGCTCAGAGGGCAGACTCAGCAGACAGACTGGGCAGCCATCAAGCCTCGGGACCTGATTTCGGTCCCTAGCATCCACAGGTGGGGGAACCAGCTCCCTCAAGCTGTCCCTGATCTCCACATTCACACCAACACAGAAAGCCGCAGAACAAATTGATGAAAGTGATTACAGCCTAGGGGTGGCTCGGGGCCTGAGAGCACGGTCCGGCACCTGTGTCGGGCAGCACCACTCCCAGAGGGCCGGCTTCCTCTGCCGGTCCTGCACACGGGTGGCATACACGCAGAAACATGCTATATAAATAAAAATCCTTTCCTTTTAAAACTTAAAAATAACAGCTGGGCATGGTGGCACACGCCTTTAGTCCCAGCACTCAGGAGGCAGAGGCAGGTGGATCTCTGAGTTCGAGGCCAGCCTGGTCTACAAATTGGTTGCAGGACAGCCAGAGAGAACCCCTATCTTAGAAAAAAAAGATATCCTACAGGCCGATGAGATGGCTCATTAGGAAAGGCACTTGCTGCCAAGCTTGAGGACCTGAGCCCCACGTGGTAGGAGAGAACTGATGTGCTGATGTTATCCTGTGACCTTCACATGTATACTGTGGTTCACACATGCACCCACACAAATATATTTTCTTTACGGGGTGGGGGGGTGGAAGCATGACAAGGTGACAAAGGGCCCTGTTGTGTGAGTTGTCAGGAAAGACTGGGGTGCCAGCGTGCACTCGAGCATTAAAATGACCATTTGAGCCGGGCGGTGGTGGCACACACCTTTAATCCCAGCACTTGGGAGGCAGAGGCAGGCGGATCTCTGTGAGTTCTAGGCCAGCCTGGGCTACCAAGTGAGTTCCAGGAAAGGCACAAAAGCTACACAGAGAAACCCTGTCTTGAAAAACAAAAAACAAAAAACAAAAAAATGACCATTTGAAGGGACATCCACATTAGCTAAGAATCTGGAGCAGATGCCTCCAGTGGCAAGAAAGGTCAAGTGTAACCATTGGAAGCCTTTTGTTAACAACACTACTAGAGTGAAGTGAATCCGGTATTTCCCTTGTGTATCGGCAGATCTATCCCCAAGTATGTACCTGCTTCCAGCTGAGTGAAAACATATCTACATAACTTGTGCTGGCATGGTGGTGCACACCTTTAATCCCAGCATTCAGGAGGCAGAGACAGGTGGATCTCTGAGTTTCAGGACAGCCAGGGCTACACAGAGAAACCCTGTCTTGAAAAAACAAAGAGACTTGAGACGGCTCTTTGGTTAAGATCATTGACCCCACAGGCAGGGTACCAAGAAGCCATGAAACTTGTCTTCTGTGTCCCCTGGCTCAGCTGGTGCTGGGCCTCTGTGCTAGAGAGGAGACACACAAAGTGTCTTGACTCCAAGGGTCCCTGTGTTGGAGTAGTGCCTAGTTTGTTGTATGTGTGTGTGTGTTGTATTTTTATTTCGTTTGTTTTGTTTGAGACAGTCTTCTATATAGCACAGAGCTGACCTTGAACTCCGAGTCCATCCTCCTTCCTGCTCCCAACTGCTGGGATTGTAAACTTATGCCTCCAGTTTTCTTTTTCCGTAACAAAAGCCTCTGAAATACTCAGTTTCAGTCCCCGTAAAACCTAGCTGGATCCCTTCCTGGTCCCCTGCAGCCCAACTAGCTGCCAGGGCTCCAGCACACACAGGCCTGGAGCTCTCTGCTCAGCCTCCAGCGCCCGAATGTCCCCTGATGGGCGTGGTTTGCGTTCTGTATCTAGGAGAGGCTGCGGCCTTGTGGCAGGGAAAACCTTTGCAGTCTCTGGGGCCAGGTCTTCTGGGCACCCAGTGGCCAGGCCAGGTTACTGTGGAGATGGCAGGAAACGGCACAGGGGCTCTGGCACACACGTGCTGTGGGGTGTGCCCAGGCGTGGAACTGGGATGAACCACCTGTACAGAGTGTCCTTTACCTTTGTGTCCACCAAGGACCTCAGAACATCACCTTATTTAGGGATAGAATCTCTGCAGACGGAATCTTGGGGTGAAGTTGGCACTGCAGTTTGGAGACCATAGAAACAAGTCAGGTATTGAGGGAATCCAAGCGAGAGTTTACTGGGACTTGGGCTCTTGAGAAGGGAGCTAGCGTTTCCCGACAGCAGCCCCAGCTGCTTGGGAAGGAAGGGAGGAGCAGATGCCATGGCTTCCGCAGGCGGGTTAACAGTCGGGTCCCTACGCCTCATCTTGTCAGAAGGACTTCAGGTGCTCAAGCTGCGTCAGCTTCAGCAAGCCAAGGGCTCTGGAGCGCCTTTGCCTTCTGTCCTCTGTGGTGGTTCCCAGTGTGCCGAGCCTGGTCTAGATTAGGAGGGGGCCCCAAATCCAGTGATTAGTGATTATCCTTACAAGAATAAAAAGTGGCATGGTGTAATCCCAGCATTTGAGAGGTCAAGTTCACAGTGATACATATAGACCTGATTTCAATTTCATTACGTATTTATTTTGTGTGGTGTGTGTGTGTGTGTGTGTGTGTGTGTGTGTGTGTGTGTGTGTGTGTGTGTGTTCACAAAAGACAGCTTGTGGCAGCCTGTTCTGTCCTTTCGTCATGCAGGCCCTAGGGGTTAAACTTAGGTCCTCAGGATTAATGGCAAGCACCTTTACCTGCTAAGCCATCTCGATGGCCTTGATTCTCTATAAAGAGGGGCAGTCGTTGGGACAGAGACACTCAAAAGAGGCAGAGGTTCGGGGGTGGGGGGGTGAGGTTCGGGGGCTATGTCTGTAAGCTGAGAAACACCACAGACCCTGCTGGCAGCCACCATTGGAGACTGGGAGCTGGCCCCACCCACATCTACATCTGTGTGAGAATAATATCTGGGTTTTGCCATCCAAGGTTCTGGGAATTGGCTAGGACATCAATACACTACTTATTTCAGGAATTCGTTACCAGGGTAACAGGTGAATAATCTCCTTCCTTTGGGTCCTGGCTGATTGACTTAGCCCCCCAGCCTGCTCTCCCGCCTGTTCAAGCCTTGTCCTCTAAGCCAGCTGGAAGGAGACGCCTTGCCAGCAACTGAACTGGCTTTCAGGCACCGTGAAGGAGTAGTCACCAGGAATATCCCTAGGACTATGGGCGCTCTGCCCCTCTGTCCTGTGTATTTGGGTTTGACCTTTGTGAGACCTCCACTACCTGTCTTAGAATTAGACTGGTCCCCACCTAAGCCGGCCTCTGCTCCCGGCCCTGTTGCCTGGCACATGTCACTCACCCTTTTCATTCCATAGGCTCTTACCACCCACTCCGTGCTGGGGCCTTTTTCCCTGCTGCTGTGCATGCCTAGAGTCTAGAACTGCCAACACTCACATGTGGTTTGGATCCTATTGCCCCTGCATGGCCTTTGCATTAGCTTACAAGGTAAATCAGCACGTCATGGTATGATCTTGGGCGAAGTTTGCATTGCCAAGTCCCTTTCTCCACTAGCTGGGCATGGAACCTTTCTTACAGCCCTGAAGGGACATGTCCCAGTTCATACAAAGGAGAAATTGGCCTTATTCACCATAGTGGCCTGTGCTCTGCTGTCCCCAATCCAGATTTCTCCAGTCTGAGTGGATTGGAATGTAGGGGAAAGGTGGAGGGGAGGAGGAGCCCTCATGCTGGGTCCAGCTGCCCAGGTGGACCTTGCACCTACCAGCCAGCCAGCCCAGTGTGGCCACAGTTGGTCTGGGCTCTATGGAAAGAACTTCAGGAAGTGGAGCAGAAGTAAGTGTGAAACCAGAGACAGCTGGTGATCTTCCAGGTTCTGTGGGGCCATCAACCCGGGGCCAGCCAGGAGAGCAGCCCAGGGAATGAGATCTCCTTGTCTTTTTCTGTCACTGTGAGCCCACCCTATGGGCCTAGAGAGGCTAATGGGGGAGGAAGCTGATCTCATCAGCCCATGGGGTACCTGGCTTTCCCCAACAGATGGGGACGCAGGAGACCTTGGACTTGTCCCGTGTTCCAAGCAAAAGACTCATTTCTCTTTTGACTACCTTCAACGTGTTAGCGTCTCAGGGTCGCTGTTACCAGAAACCACACACTCAGTGACTCAGAACATGCCAGTTTCTGGAGGCCTGAAGTCCAAAGTCAGTTCCACTGACTGGAGTCAAGGTGTCAGCAGGTCTGGTTCCTCCTACAGGCTTCGGGACAGTCTCCTAGCTTCTGGAAGCTTCTGCAGTCCTTGGCTTGTAACC